TTAGGTTTTCGTAACCAAAAAGCATTTTTTTTTTTTTTTTAGTTAGAATCTCACTCTGTCACCCAGACTGGACTGCAGTGGTACACTCACAGCCACTCCAGCGTCTACCTGCTGGGCTCAGGCGATCCTTCCACCTCAGCCTTCCAAGTAGCCGAAACTACAGGCACGCGCTACCACACCTGGCAAATTCTTAATTTATTGTAGAGACGAGGTCTCACCAAGTTTCCTGCACTGGTCCTGAACCCGTGGGCTCAGGCAATCCACTTGTCTCGGCCTCCCAAAGTGCTGGGATTACAGGTTGAGCCACCAAGTCCAGCCCCAAGAAGCATTTTTTAGCATAGTGCACAGAAGGTTCATTTTAAAAGTGGAGTCTTAGCACAACAGTGTGAATTCACTTAACATTACACAATTATACATTTGAAAATGGTTAAAACAGTAAAGCTTGTGATGTATATTTTAAACCAACTTTTTTTAAAGTGCAGGCTCTAGATAATGCATTATCAGTAGCAACAATATCATTCATTTCCAAGGGGGCCAAAATGGTTGTGTGTGTGTTATACAATAAAGCACTCATAGTACATGTACAGACTATATGTGGTATTAAAATTTCATGAAGTGGGGGAGTGCTTAGAAAAAAAAGTCTAAAGAGCTTCCTAGAAGAGGGGCAATAAAGCAAAACAAAACACTGCTCTAGAGCAATTCTGCTTGAGTTCAGATGAAGCTCTAACACTTATATTAACTATGTAATGACTTTCGATAACTCAATCTTTTTATGACTCCATTTTCTCAGCTGCTAGAATTTCTGTTTAAATAAGTGAATGCATGTAAAGCACTTAAAACGACACCTAGTACACAGAAAGCACTTAATAAATCTTAGTTATTTTAATGGCACTGTGCTGGATTATAATCACTAAGAGAATTGCATATGTCCAAAGAGTTCACAATGTTAGTTGTATGACCTCTGTTTTATAAAGAAGACAGATCAAAGGTTAAGTGTTTACCTTCTCTCCTTTCTCCAAATTCTATGACAACGAAGTCATAGAAATTCTAGACAACATTCTATGACAACGACACATATATCCCTCCTCTCCCCTCAAAAAAGAATGAGAATGGGAGGCATTAGACAAACACACATTTATAGAAGGAAGAAAATGGGTTTGTTACTGATGGCTAGAACAAGACAGCCGAAAACAAACCCAGAATACTGCATCATAAGCTGGAACTGATGTACCTTGTCACAAATCCTTATAAGCTGTAAGCTCCAAAGTCTGAAGATATGTAAAGAATGAATTGGTGCTAGAGGCAAAATGGTTATTATTTGAAAGAATGTCTCTGGGGTCGGACGTGGTGGCTCAAGCCTGTAATCCCAGCACTTTGGGAGGCTGATGTGAGAGGATTGCCTGAGCCCACGGGTTAAAGACCAGTCTGGCCGACTTGGCAAGACCTCATCTCTACAATAAAAATAAAAATAAAATTAGCCAGTTGTGGTAGGTTGCACCTGTAGTTCCGGCTATTTGGAAGGCTGAGGCGGAAGGATCGCCTGAGCCCAGCAGGTCGAAGCTGGAGTGACCATGAATGTGCTCCTCCAGCCTGGGTGACAGAGTGACACGCCAACTCAAAAAAAAAAAAAAAAAAAAAAAAGAATGTTTCTGGAATTGTTCTCCCTTCCCTTCTCTAGTTATGGTGCTATGGACTCTACAACAAAACCAGCAACTAGTTTCCAATGAAATGGAACAATCTGGTTACAAGCAAAGTTTTAGATTTATAAAGCTATCCTCATTTGTCTTTTTTTCCCTTCAATTATTGGGAGGACATTAACAGGAAGAAACACATTGCTTCCAACTTGGGGATTCTCAGGTGAAATCACCAGGCCTCTTCTTTTTCGTTAAAGTTCAGTAATTTTATTGGAATACTTTGGTATTGATCATCTTATTGTCAGAAAAATGATATATCTTTTAATTTGCCATTTCAATTTTTTTTTAATATGTGGAGTACAATTCAGGGTTAATTTTTTACAAAATAACATTTTTATTTAATTATAATCTTGCTGCTTTCTTTTTTCTTTTTCAGGAACCCCTATTGTCTTCTTTGCCTATCTTTCTTATTTGTTACCTTCTCTTGAATCCTTCTTATCTTTTTTTCTTTTTTTTTTTAACACTTCCTCTTCTTTCCACCTCTTATTTTCTTCCTCTAATGGTATAATTTGCTCTTACCTTGTTTCATATCTAAAATGACTTGTTCTTAATTTATGTGAAATTTTCTCTAGGTCTTATTCTTGAGTTTCCATAATTGAGATAAGTTGTCTTTTCATGTCATATCATTTTATTGATGCCTTTGGCTTATTCTGAAATACTCATAGTTTTGGTCTATTTTGCTTGCAAGTTTTTATTGTCTGTAGGAATATTATTTTCTTCCCTTCTCCCCTACAATAATTTAGTATGCAATTTAATCTCAATACTTTTCTGTATTTTCTGCATATTTTTATGTGAATCTAATTTTCTTGAACTTTTAGAATGGTTAAGGGTTCAGGAAAGCTTTAACTTCACAGAGCTCCCTCTTCAACTGCTTTTGAATAGTTAAAAATATGGTGACTTGCTTGGCAGTTAGTTTTCTAAGATTCCTTGACTCTGTGAGTCTCATGTTTATCTGGACTAGCTCCTTCTCTTTTCTTGTCTCTATTGTCACTTTCATGATAACATTTTATTCCACTCCCAGCAGTTTCTCGTTAAGGTGAGCTTTGCCCTAGATTGGTACCTTGGGAAGTCAGGTTTGGGAATTTATAGGAGGTAGACTACTCCTGGAGAGAATGCCCCCCACTTTCAGCTACAGCCATCTACTTGGCCAGCATAGTCTTTTAGTGAACACCCGTTGGCCATTCTGGAATTCTCCTATTCTCGGGTCCATCAAATGTTGCCCCAGTGCTTCCTTCCTCCTCTCTGACAGATGCCAACACTGATTAGGTCTAGAGGCTATTGGCATTTTGTCTCACTTAGTTATGTTCTGAGGCTCATGCGGCTACCATGTCATGTGATTTGTCGTAATTGCTTTGTTGATTTTAAATTCTGAGATCTGGTTTCTCTTTCTGTTTTTATGTGAGTATTCAAAAAGAATGAAAAACTATGCTGCTGTCACCACCACCACTACTGTCTTCCTGAAACCCATTTCTTCTCTCAGTCCCTCACCTCCTAGGACTAGCTTTTGAGCTACTGTGACTTACTTAGACATTGCCATTTTTAGGTTCTGCTTCAGAGAAAAGCTGGTAGCCCTTTGTCTCTCTTTAATCTAACATATTCAAAAGACATCACTTTGGTAAATTAACTTTTCAAGTTTATTTATGGTGGAGTTTTAAAATAATTCTACTCCCAGCTTCTATCTGCAGCTAAGCTTTCACAAAACTTAACCTAATGCCATGTCATAAAATTGCCTTAAAGAGATTATTTTTGTTTCCAGTAACAAAATTTCTCAGAACAGAGGGAATCCAATATATTTTCACCAAGTGAAATTCTATGCCAAAGACAGAGAATATAAGCATTACTGAGCATATTATCAAGTCATTCTGAATAACAATCACATTATTTTGTGCTTTACAGATAAAGTGACTAATGCATGGCAAATACTCAAATATTTGTTGACTGAAGGATCTAAGAAAGGCCAAAGTTAGTTGTCTCCACTTCTGCAATGTATTGGTTTCCTTTTTAACCCTCCTCTGTGGAAAAAAAAAAAAATGCTTCCTTCAATTTAACTCAACCTATGTTTCAAATAAATTAAAGATAAACTAGCGCCCTGGAATTTTTTGTAAGCTTTTTCTCTTCTAGCCAGTCTTGACTGGAATGCGGCAACAAAAAAATCCTTTTCAGAAGTTCACCTTCATGCTTTAAAAACATTAAACCACAATTGAATAGATAATAGGATGGTATTTACCGGAATATTTCCCCCCACTATTAATACCATGCTACCACTACCACAACCATACACAATCAGCTATACGTATTTCAACAGTGATTCTTTTTTGCGAAACATAAAATAGACAAGAGAGCAATCAAATTCATTAAATGTGACAAACACCAAGTATCACCCGGAGTCTACTTTATCTAACAGACAACTGCTTTTCTCTTCTCCTCTCACAGTTCCAATATATAAAGTACATTTTTTGGAAATCTACACGTATCTGTTGCCCCGAGGTCATCAAATATCAAGTATTATTAGTAGTATCAGTGCTCTATCAATCTCTCCCTCTCTCGGTCATCATACACCAAATATAATTAGTAGTATCAATGTTCTATCAATATCCCTCCCTCCCTCCCTTTTTCTCTCCTTCCCTCTCTTACATACATACACACACACACACACACACGCAGCGAAGCCTCCAAATAACGCTCCCCATCCCACCCCCGCCGGCCCAAATGTTTTTTGTTTGTTTTGACAATAGGGGATAGGTGCTGTCTTTGAGATAACAGAAAATGAGAGCCAAAAAAAAAAAAGGCGGCATCAAGAGGGACCATCAGCTCGTCCCAAAGTCGAGGTGTTGCGGCGGGGGGGGGAGGTGCCGCCCCGGACGGGGAAAGTCAGCCAGGTGATCCCAGTGCGGAGGCTGGTGTCATTGTTTGTACGTGGCTCTGTTGCACTGGGTGGGAGGGGGACCTACGAGGACAGCCGCTCCAGCCTCGCAAGCTTCTCTACGGAAAAGGCAACTTGCAGCTCCCGGGGAGGAAAGGGAAGAACTCCCGGAGAGCGGACAGAGTGTCGGCGTCGCGGAAGGCCCTGCCCGGGGCAGGCGAGCTGTCACCCGCCGGGAACTCGGCGGCTCTGTTCGCAGAAACGCAGCCCACGTCCGTGCCCTCATTTACAACAGCCGGGCGCCCCCCAGCCTCCTGTCCCCCTCCCCGGGCCGCCCAGCCGTCAGACGACAAGCAGGAAGAGGAGGCTGGGACGCCCGGGTCCCGGGGCGAAGAGAGGGCCGCGCGCCCCGGGTTCTCGGCCGCCGCCCCTCGCTCACCCACCTGATGCTCTTTCACCACTTCGCTGAGGCAGGGATACCGCTCCGAGATCCATCGGTAAAACTTGGGGACTCCCATTGCGACCGTCAGCACTAATCTCAGTCCGGGCCAAAGCGAAACCAAACGCCCCGCCGGGGCCTACGCCGCCGCCTCCGGCCGTCGCTCCGCGGATGACAACACACCGCCCGGCCGACCATAGAGAGCGGCCGCCGGGCCTAGAGCGGCAGCACCCGCGGCCTCCGGGGGTGGGACTTACTCCCGCCTCCTCCGCCGCCGCCGCCGCCCGGCCCAGCGGTGCTCGCGGGGGGTTATGGGAAGCCGGAGGTTGGCGTGAGTGCCGAGCAGCGTTTCTGCCACTGTAGGGCGAGGGAGCTGTGCTTTCCGGGCGGATTTGGAGGCCGTGTGAAACCCACGCGAGACTGTTGCAAGGTTATGGACCATTGATCGTTGTTCTGGCTTTGGAAAGGTCTGGTGATTTGCTTGGCTTAGTTTGGTTTGCTTTGCGGGGGGAAATACTTTCTCTGAGGAATTTAAACAAAGTTTTTGGCTCTTTTTTTTTTCTTTTTGGAGTCAGGGTCTCACCCTGTGGCCCAGGGTTAGGCTTACCGCAGTCTCATGATTTCTTGGGCTCAGGCGATCCTTGCACCTCAGCCTTTCAGATAGCTGGGATCACAGGTGTACGCCACCACGACTGGGGAATTTTTTTTTTTTTTTTTTGGAGAGACGAGATCTTGCTGTGTTGCTCAGGATGGTCTTGAACTCCTGGGCTCAGGCAATCCTCCCGCCGCCGCCTCCCAAAGTGCTGGGATTACAGGCGCGAACCACCGTGCCCGGCCAAGTTTCTTTTAAAAATGTTCTTTTCCAAAATGTTTCCTGAAAACAATTTCCTAACAACCTTCTTCCCATAACTGTTAACATTAGGTCTTCAATAGGAAATCGTGTTTAATTTTCACCTTGATGCCTCTTGGCTTAGCATGTGTTTCCCCACCACACTTTAAGCCCTGCAAAAGAGCAGAGTTCTGTCAAGTGGATTTGAGTGAAATTATCTTTGTCTTACATTTAAGAGTTGTCCATGTGTTTGAATGTAACTTTATTACTTTGTAAATGTTTTCATTTAATTCAAATCCTCTGCACGAAACCTACAGAAAAAAAAAAAACAAAAAAACAACGTAAACGCATTTAAACATTTTTAGATTTTAAAATCTCATGGAGTCAGATCACACCTGTAATCCCAGCATTTGGGAAGCCAATGAGACAACTTTTTCTAGTTTGGTGGGATCAGGGTTCTCAAGTTGCAGTTTCGGAGCTGCACTGCCAGCCTGAGATACACGTGGTGGCCAAGGACACAGCGGTGTCCGGAGGGGAACAGTAGTACCCAAGAACTCAGGGATGCCAACAGCCGCAGAGCCCCAAGGAGTGTTACAGCTCTGTGGGTTCCACGGGTTGGGTTGGCAAGCCGAGCCCCCTGAAAGTGTTTACTGCTCTGTCAGATGCTTGGACCAGTGAGCTGAACACCCTGCCACTTCCTACCTGCCCCCTACACCCCACCCCACCCCCCGCCCATGTTACAACTCCATTGGTTTGGCAGACAGCAAGCGAGCTGCCAAGAAGTATTGAAGCTCTCTCGGCTGGGCGGGTCCAGCTCCTCTAGAGCAGCGAGTTCTTGGTTCTTGTCTCACACCTAGAATAAGGAGTGTGGACACCCGGAGAGGGCACAAGGAGGAACTTAGAAGGCAGGCAAGCTCTCAGCAGCAAGAGGGGACCTGAAAGTGGGCTTATATAGCCTTGAAAGCGTGTTGATTGGTTGGCAGGGCAGGCTTGAAAAATGCACCAATCAGAAGCCTGTGAAAGGGACAGTACAGGAACCTGGGAATACATGTTCTCTGGTCCCTGGGACTTGCAGCAGAAGTTTCTACTGGGGACCCGCCCTAATCTGTATGCCTATGTGGTTTCTTCTTTCTCTCTTCTCTCACCAAGACAGGAATGATTGCTTCCCCCCCCCCCCAAAAAAAAACAAGAACAGCTGGGCATGGTGGTACCCGCCTGTATTCCTAACTACTCAGAAAACTGAAGCAGAAGGATTGCCTGAATCCAAGACATCAAGGCTGTGGTGAGCCTCAATCTTGACACTGCATCCCAGCTTGGGCGATAAGGTGAGACCTCATTCAAACAAACTGAATAATCGAGGAATTATAAGTACTTTTGCTGTCTTCGGTGACCACTGGATTCTGCATTCTGGTAACCTGCAGTATGGCGGCATCATACAATTTACAGTATGTCGATTTCAATTTCATATTCATGTTTCTGGGCTTGTTTTTTTCCTTATCACACTGCCAAACATACCAAAAAAGAGAGTTTTATTAAGTGAACTGAATGATTATGTTTATATCTCTCTCTTACTAGACTGTCAGTTCCTGAAGGGCAGAAGAGGTAGCAATGTGCACAAGACTAGCATAGTGCCTTGCCCACGGTATTTATTTGATATAATTTTGTTGTTCAAATGAATCCTTACAATACCTAGTACATTTGAAAGGAAATCAATAAAAGTTGAAAAAGTAGTTACGCTGTCTTGTTTCTTGGAAATACACAGAACACATTTTCCAGTTATACAGTATGTATTAAAAAGCAGTTTATTTCTAAATAACTGAACATATATTATCTTAAATATAGTTAACAGTTGAAGAGAATACCAACTGCTCTGATAATATAAAGAAACTTATGTTGTACTTTAAAACTGAATAGATACAACCACAGATTAATATCAAAGGCATTAATTTTAGATTATTAACATATTCTTTGAAATAATTTCACTTCACATATATGGGGTCCAACCAAGATACATTTGGCATAGTAAGTTTTCATCAGTAGCTTCTTGTATAAGGTAATGCACGTGTCCTTCAATAGATAATGGCAGCCCAGTCACTCTATTTCGGGTCTTGATTACACCTTGTAGTCGCTGTTCGATGTCAAGAACATGGGTCTTGGCCTAACAAGAAGAAAAAGAAGACCAACCTTTCTAGATGTTTTGATATTTACTAAATATTAATACCATTTTACTAATCAATGCCCCTTTTGTAAGAGTAAATACACAAAAAGAGAAAAAATGAAACAAGTACAATAACTTGAGATACTGATTTTGAGATTTGCAATGTTGATTCAACATCAACTGGTTGGACATGTTTCTAGACTACAAGAAATACCAAAGAATTCTTTCTGCATTACAATTCTAGAAAAACAGTAATTTAAAAACTTTGCTTTGAAACTGTTTAGAACTTTAACATTTGAATAAATATTGTAACAGACAATGCTCTACCACCTAATAGGTACATTATGTTAGTTACATGGGAGTTCTAAATGAGCTACTTGAAAGCATTCTAATATGCTTTCTTAAGAATGCAAAAGTAATTAGCCGGGCGTGGTGTCATGTGCCCGTAGTTCTAGCTACTTGGAAGGCTGAGACAGAAGGATCGCCTGAGCCCAGCAGGTTCAGCCTGCGGTACTCCAGCCTCGGGGACAGAGTGAAACTCAAACTCTAAAATAAAATAAAATAAAATAAAAAAGTAAAAAATTAATTAGCCGGGCATGCCTGGTGGTGGATGCCTGTAGTTCCAGCTCCTTGGAAAGCTGAGGTGGAAGGATAGCCTGAGCCCAGCGGGAGGAGGCTGCGGTAGCCATGAGCGTGCCACTGCATTCCAGCCTGGATGACAGGGTGAGTCCCCGACTTAAAAAAAAAAAGGCAAAAGTAAGAATAATGTTATTAGAAAAATAATCCTCAATCTATTCTAACTTATTAAAATATCTGTAAACTTTGAGGTTTCAGCTTATTTTAGTGAAAAGTGAATTGCTGCATTGTCAGGATGGATTGTGGCACACCAGTATCATGATATTAAAGTTCAGCCCTGCTGCCTATAAATTCAGGCAATTCATGCTCAATTTTTTCTCACTGTATCTCATAATGTGAACTGTCTATAGTTTAACAAATATGCCTTGAACTCTGTTTTATCATACAAATGCTAATAATGTCAGCATTAATAATGACGATAAAAAACACGGCATTGTCACACTAGAGAATTAGATTTCAGAGGCACTGACAATACGAGTATTTCAAGTCAGTTCTCATTTGTAGAGATGAAAACTATAGCTACATAACAAGCTCATTAGCTTAGATGAGAACTACAGCTTATGTCAAGTTACACCTTCTACTAACCTTTTCATTGACGACTTCCCCAGTTTCATTCAGTGATGCTTTGCCATGACCTTTCACAGGTTTACTCCATTCCACAAGAGGGTCATGTAGAAAAGTCTTTAAAACACTAAAATTGAAACAAGTAATGGTAATAGTATAATGTTATCTTGGCTAAAATAAGCCTTGCTAACATCAACACTTAAGAATAAGTTAAGGATAAGAAGCTAATGGTATTGTTCTTACAATATACATTACACCTTTTCAGTAAGATATGTAAAAGTATTGTTTCGGTGTGAGGGGAGGGTAAGCGAAAAGCAGGGAGGGTAAAAGCAAGATAGAGAAGTCAGGGGTGTTTCAGAGAAGAGAATAAGATGAGTTCTGTGTGCCATCTCTAAATGCATACTGTGAAATGGTAAACAAATATTTATTGAATGAATTTCATCCCCAACCATGTATACCTATAGCTACCACATAGATCTAGCCCAGACCTTTCTGTGCTTTAAACATAAAATCCAACTACCTAAGGAAAATACCCACTTGGATATCTTGCATGCACCTCAAACTCAGTATCTCCAAAATAAAACTCATTACCTTTTCCTAGCAATTTCTCCTGTATTCCCCCAAATCAATAAAGAACATTATTCATCCATGTGATCTAGAATCATTCTTGCCTCCTCTTCCTCCATCTCTTTAGAATCTCTCTACTTGCTCCAGTTTTACTGCCACTACAATATCCAGATGCCATCATCTTTTCCTGGGTCACCGGTAATAGTCCTTTAACTAGTTTTCTGGCTGTTAGTCCAAACCAGAACCCTAATTTTTCTACAGTACAAGTCAGATTACCTCATTTCTTTTTTTCTTCTTCTTAAAAATTTCTTTTTTGCCTGTGTGTGGTGGCTAAGCCTGTAATCCCAGCACTTTGGGAGGCCAAGGCGAGTGAAATGCCTGAGCCCATAGGTTCAAGACCAGCCTGGGCAACTTGATGAGACCTCATCTCTACAATAAATGAAAAATTAGCTGGGTGTGGTAGCATCGCCTTAGTTCCAGCTACTTGGAAGGCTAAGGCAGGATTGCTGGAGCCCAGCAGGTCGACGCTGGGGTGTCCATGAGTGTGCCACTGCACTCCAGCCTGGGCAACAGAGTGAGACTCCACCTCAAAAAAATTTTTTTTTCCTTCTTAAAGCCCTCTGATGAACTGGGCGTGGTGACTCATGCCTGTAATCCTGGCACTTTGGGAGGCGGAGGTGAGAGGATTCCCTGAGTCCAAGGGTTTGAGACCAGCCTGGGCAACTTGATGACACCTCATCGCTATAGCTACTTGGAAGGCTAAGGTAGAAGGATCACCTGAGCCCAGCAGGCTGAAGCTGCAGTGGCCATAAGCGTGCTACTGCACTCCAGCCTGGATGACACAGTGAGACTCCAAGTAAAAACAAAAACAAAACAAAAAAACAACCCTCTGGTGATTTCTAGTTCTCAGGGCAAAGTTTAAATGTAAAAAAAAGGCCTCATGTGCGTCTTTCCTAATTTAGGCCCTGCTCACCTGTCCAGCATCATCTCTTAGCACCACCTCCTTGAAATATATACTCTCACGGGTCTGCATTTCTCAGGCAGGCTATGCCTTTACTTGCCTTGATATTTTTATAACTTACCCCTGCATGGCCGATTTTATTTATCTTTAAGGTTTCTGCTGCTTCCTCCAGAAATTATTTCCTGACTTCCACAGACTGACACAGGGGCCCCTTGTGTTTCACAAGATGATATACTTTTCAGAGAATTTGCCTTTGTTTATGTCCAGCTAATCAGTGTAATCTACCATAATGTCTGATAGAAATCTTTTAAGGTAGCCACAAAAATAACTATTAGAATTAATGAACGAGTTTAGCAGGTTGCAAGATTCAAGAGCAATATATAAATATCACTGACATATAGAGATACATAGTATATATCTATACACTAGCAATCCACAAATAAAATTAAGAGAAACTCCATATAGAATAGAATCAAAAGGAATAAAATACTTCAAAATACAATTTTTACTTCTTTTATTAATTATTATATTTTTTTGAGTTGGCATCTCACTCTGTTGCCCAGACAGAAGTTCAGTAGCATGATTATGGCTCACTGTAGACTTGGCCTCTTTCTGCCTCAGCCTCCCAAGTAGCTGGGACTACAGATGCATGCCACCACACCTGGCTAATTTTTAAATTTCTTTTAGAGATGAGGTCTTGCTATGTTGTCCAGGCTGATCTTGAACTCCTGGGCTCAAGTAATCCTCCCTCAGTCTACCAAAATGCTGGGATTACAGGTGTGAGCCACTGCACTCGGCCCATGAACACAATTCTTTAAAGTCAAATACAAGAGTTCCACACTAAAAATTACAAAATGGTCAGGTGAGGTGAGCTGTGATCTTGCCACTGCATTCCCAACCTGGGTGACAGTTCAAGACCTTGTCTCTAAATAAAATAAAAATAAAAGCTACAAAATATTGTTGAAAGAAATTAAATACATAAATGGAAAAACACTCATGTTCATGGATCAAAAGATTTAATACTGTTAAGATAGCTGTCAGGTGCAGTGGCTCACACCTGTAATCCCAGCACTTTGAGAGGTGGAGGCAAGAGGATTGACTGAGTCCATGGGTTGGAGACCAGTCTGGGCAACATGGTAAGACCTCGTCTCTATAATAAATCAAAAAATTAACTGGGCGTGGTGGTGCATGCCTGTAGTTCCAGCTACTTGAAAGGCTGAAGCAGAAGGATTGCCTGAGCACAGCATGTCAAGGCTGTGGTGGCCATGAGTGTGTCACTGCACTCCAGTCTGGGTGACAGAATGAGACTCCGACTCAAAAAAACAATGATAGCAATACTCCCCAAATTGATTTACATATTCAATGTCATTTCTATCAAAATACAAATTAAATTTCATTTGGCAACGTAAGGGGCTCATAATAGCCACATGATTTTTTTTTTTTTGAGTGGGAGTCTCATTCTGTTGCCCAGGCTGGACTACAGTGGCACACTCATGGCCACCCCAGCATCTACCTGCTGGGCTCAGGCGATCCTTCTGCCTCAGCCTTCCAAGTAGCCAGAACTACAGGCATGCACTACCACACCCAGCTAATTTTTTTATTTATTGTAGAGACGACGTCTCACCCATGTTGTCCAGGCTGGTCTCGAACTCATGTGTTCAGGCAATCCTCTCACTTTAGCCCCACAAAGTCAAATGATCTTGGAAAAAAAAAAAAGGTTGGAGCACTCACACTCTCTGATTTCAAAATTTACTGCGAACTTCCAACAATCAAGACCCATAAGGTTAGACATATAGATCTACAGACTAGTGTTGCTGAAAAATCAATTGAATGCCAAGATAATT